ATCTGTTAGACGGATCGCTTCCCCCACCCAAAGCTTGGATGGAGCGCTTAGAGGAGCGGGAGGTCCGCGGGTCCGTGGGCGACGGATTATCTCTTGCTGAAACCCTCAGATCTGCCCGAGTGCCCGCTGCAAAGCAGGGGACAAATGGGGTGGTTCGCCTTTTTGCAAAGGCTAGCCGCGATCTTTACTGCGCAACAGTCATGGCATCGCAATGACAACATGAACTGCCCGCGAGCAGCGCATTAACATGCTGGACCCCCCAGGTATACAACGCAGTGCCCGTGCCCATCATCCGAGGACAGGAAACCACCGCATCCAGAAACGCACAGTCGGAGCGCTTTCCTGAAAAGGACGTGCTGCACTACTGTGTTGCTCTTTCTGTGAAGTTTGCAACTTTATACGCACCGCTCTGGAGGACCGGACCCAAGGAACGCCAGGCAAGGGAGAACCCCAGCTCGACCGTCTGCCGCTGCGTGTACACACTCTGGACCGGGAGAATGCTCTCGTTCGCTCGGAATCGCTAGATCACAGCAGGAGGAACCCTCATCAACTCGATCAGAAAGTCTCTGAAGCAAAAAGGATGGCGTTTACTCGCTCCAGGTGTGCTTATATGCTGGGATAATTGGCAATGAGGCACACCTGTGCAAGCTTACGCTGCCAATTCATTGCATTCATTGGCCCGTTCAATACTCTTTCAGACAAGCGGCTTCTGAACCGAATCCTTCCAATACGTGGATTTTGAAAATCAAATCCACTGTATAGCACTGAAGTTCCCCAACCGAAGGGGAACTTGTGTGTTTGCAACAACAACAGACAACAACAACAAAATCTTTACACACAGAAAGCGGTATATTTGAATGCTGTCACTTTAAGACCTGATTCATGGATCCGATATACAGAGATGTTTACAGTACAGTACGTGACAACAATGTTGACTACAATTTTCTTTTGCTTGTAGAAAGTTCAAATGGAACTCCAAAAATCATGAGAAAAATGCTGTATTGTTAATGCTAGACCAATACTTGGTGATGTCATATCATTAAACAACAACTAAAACATAAAATCTCCCAGGTTTTACCGCCGTATCTGAACCCAACAATTGTTGTTCCCTTTCGCACTAATGATATTTACAGGGGTATATTTTTAGGGCTGGGTATTAAATTTAATCAATTCCACTTATATATTTTGATAGCCAGTTTCGATTATAATGTAGTAAACAAAAAGAAAAAAAAAGAAAAAAACTCAAACATTTACGTCACGTTCACGCTGGTATTAAGCATTTCTTTCAACTTTTAACCTCTTCTCTGATGAGGTCTGTGAGCAGAGATGGCCTCTCTGATATTTGAATCTAATACTGCAAAAGCTGATGCAATTTTTAGAATTTAAAAGAAAAAACAATTTAAAGATTAATCTTTACAAATTAAACACACTTTATGATGGCTATGCATTAACTAATTCAATTATAGATTATTGATTTCTTTTATTTCTGATGTATAGGCTTATACAAACTTTATTTTGTTTTACAGTTTTATATGCGTTCATGTTTATAAAATGTGTTTAACAAATATGTTAGCACATCAAAACTAACTGAATAAGGTGTCTTTGATTAAAAACATTATACAAAATATCAGGAACTGATCATCCAACTATATGTATTAAGGGTGTAACGACACACGTATTCGTATTGAACCGTTCGGTACGAGACTTTTGGTTAAGTACGCATTACAAACGATCTTTAGTTTCACCAGTTACAAACCAAAACCAGCACTGAGCTGCTCAGCTACACGTTTAAAAAAAGTCAAATTAAAACACACAACACATGGTGCAATCTTTTAATTTGATGTTTTGAACCAACCGCAGATGCTTGGTCATGTTCGGTCATGACACCCTGCTTGCAACAATCATAAATTACAATAATTACTCTTAGCTTTGCCACCATTCAATCCCAAATGCAGCCACACATTTGATCAATTCCCAAGGTCCATCTTATAAACTGATTCGTTTACTTTTCAGAATCCTGGTATCTCACCAGCGTTTAATCTTCTGCCAGATTGCCTTGTGAAAAATAAAAAATGTGCACACAGGAAGTAAAAAGCAGAATTAAAATGATTTTTTTTAACAAGTATCAGATTCTTAAGTATCAAATTCCAGACACTGAATCAGATGAAAATGAACCCTTGTGGCTAACTGTGGCTTATTAACAGTTGTTACTGTTGATTAATGATCATTGTCCTTGTTAAATAAAATAAAAAGAAATAAATAAAATAATATATTATCAGTTTATACAGTGTGGATTTTGCACAACACCTTATGTAATCGAACATGTTTCCCTCACCTATCTATTTCCATCTGGACAACTTTTTTGGCATGGTCAGTTACTCTAGCTCACTTTGCAGAGTTTTGTACGAGTCTGATAAAGCAGGGGTTCCCAAACTTTTCAGCCCATGACACCCAAAATAACAATGCCAGTGACTCGTGACCCCCAATATCCTCTGAGGTGGTTATAAATACAAAAACCTTGCATGCAATGGCGCACACCAATAGACCCGAGTCTATTCTTTGTTTAATTGTTTTTAATGTATGTGAGTGTTGTAAATGTGCCCGAAAGTTTTACCTTGTATTATAAAATCAATCTGCAGCATCTGATGCTATTACTGTGTCTTTGATATAATGTAATTACCCCAGGGGTCGCAATCCAATAGAACTAGTAACTACTGTATAAGCTACTATAGTAACTATATAGTATACAGTAACGATAAGCGACAATTCAGACAATAACCTCTCTTCAGTAGGTTATGGATAAAATATGGTAATTTTTATGGTTTAACAAAAATAAACAGATTTTTGGAAATCACCAGGCGACCCCCCCCCCCCCCCCTCTTCATTGTCCTGCGACCCTTCGGGGGGTCGCGACCCCCACTTTGAGAACCACTGCGATAAAGCACAGTTCCACAAAAGAAATTAAGGCAATCTGAAATCAAGATAAAACTATGAGGTCGAACTTTACATTTTCTCAAAAAATGTGCTTGTGAAAACACTATTGTTGTGTTTAGGTAATTGGTTTGCTGGCTGATCTGTACAACTACTCTCGTCTCCTCATGGACATGTACAATAAGGTTGTGTATCTGAAATGTACAAAAAAGTATCCTTTATCTCAAATGTTTAAAAGTGTAGACAGCGCCCTCAAGTGGATTTGTTATTAGCATTTTGTCATTTACACAGAGATGGTAATATTATATATATTTTTTAAATATTATAGTTTTTTGAAAATTGCACTTTGCTTAGCTCTCAAATTAGCTCTCAAATTGCTGACATCATGTACTGTAAATGAACAAACACAAAACAGCCAGTTTTCCAGTATTCTTCAAAATATATTATTTTGTTTTGAACAGAAGAGAGAAACTGATAAAGGTTTGGAGAAAAATGATAAGCAAATCTTTTTTTTGGTAAACTATTCATTCAACTTTAAGCAGTCCGCCACATCAACAGTTGCAGAATTGATTGAGTCGAAGCGTCCTGTAAATTCGGAACAATCTCCAAATTGGAAGTGGTTCCTGATACAAACAACTTCAGTCAAATTTAAATACGAATGTGAAATGAACTGCTGAATATTAGAAAGCAGTCTTGTTTAAAGAGTTTTGAACATAGGATTGTATAGCGATCGGCTTCAACCACCCCAATTCACACAAATGGTCATTTCAATGTTTGAATGTTCTAAATTAACCAATCTGACTTTAACTATCATGTTTCATATCATTTGAAATTTCTCAGTGCGATTGGTACAATGGTCTCATTCTCTCAGAAATAGACATAATCAAAACAATAAATATATAACTTCAGGCGTCTTTTGAACCACTGTGACTTTTCCACAGGCAGCACTAAGTGTGAATGCCTTTTGTTATGCACACACCCCCTTCCTTGAGGGAATTCTTGGAATATTTAAGGTAAGGTTTGAGAAAGGCTCAGGGCGATTCTGCTTACCCAGATCAGCCCATAACATGGAGCTTGCTCCATGTTATGTATATTTTGAAGTCAGGTATGCATCTTTTCATCTTGGATTTATCTTTGATAATTTGATGTTTTGTATTGATCGTTTATGAATTGACTGATTGAATTGGCATAATACATTTTCCTGACCAATAAATTGTTATGTTTTGAATTATTCAAACAGAGTTCTAGTTATTATCTCTAGTAGATTGTGGTAATTTCATAACACCACAAGCCCCTGTACAGGTTAGTAGCGGACTAGAACACGATAGACGGAGCATTGCGGCACACTGTACGATGTCTTTAGAGCTCCGACTAACACATTGGCATTAATTCATGTATACTTAGACTGTAAAAGGATATCTAAGGGGATAGTCCTTCACCCGATAAACTTATAATACTATTTAGATAGTATAGTGATTATTCAAAGTTACTAATAGTTTAAATACGACTGGTCTGCTTAATTCTATAGTAATGATCACTATATGACTAAATAGCTCTGTTTGATTTAGGAGGTAGCAGATCTATGGGGACCGCATAAAAAATATCCTAATCTGAGTAAGTAGGGTTCTGCCGTTTTAGGATAGCGGTCAATCGCCACTGTTTAGTGACCAAGACTGACATGCTTGTGCTTAAGAAATTGTATACTCGGCCGGTACAAGATTCAGGATGTTATTGGAATCCCAATGAACGAGAATAACATAAAATGATGAACCGAAGAGAATATTCAATCATAATCTAAACTAATGTGAAAGGAAACAAAATAACCTTCTCAATGTTTTATAATTGGAGTCAGATAAAACGAGGATAAATATATTAATATTCTAAACCACCTCATACTAAAATTGGAGTCAGATATGAGTTAAGTTTAATATAGATCAACATTGTGCACTGGAAAGACCGAACATGCAGTGAACCTTCATCCACCAGTGGATACCGTCATTGGACCAACTGGCTGGACCCTACACACATTACAATATCGAGTACAATGAAAACTGTTATACATATCTTACCTCCGTTCCACAGTTGAGTAATTGAGAACTGTTTCCAACGATTGTAAAAGTTCCTACTGGTTCCATCCCATTTCTGGCCTGAAGAAGAAAGCCCCTAAACTCAGTGTTATTCCCTTGTAGTGTCACTAATCAAAAAAAAGTATAATTAATAAACAAGTAATTAAATAAAAGGAGAATAGCAGATTAAATTCCAGTGTGAAAATGTATAGCAACTCTACAAGAAAGGCTCTAAAATCATGTATTTCCAGACTTTCACACTAGTTAATGTATTTACTAACATGAACTAAGAATGAACAATACTTGTATACAATCATAGATCAAAATGTAAAATGCTAATCGATGGTGTTTATCTTTAGTTAATGCACAGCAAATTAACAGAAATTAACATTGAATGACTTTGTCTTATTAACTGTGTTTATTAACTAATGCTTACAAAGATTAATAAATACTGTGATACAAGTATAGAGTTCACTGTTTGTTCCAAAAAAAGAAACATTATTGTAATTGTTACCATTTATTTATGTTTTTACAGACGCTATTACTAACCTGTGATCACCTGCCCATCAGTGTAGTATAAGACATCTGAGGTTACAGTATATGGAGAATCTAAGTTAGTCGACGAGTAAGTCCCATTATGTCCTGGAACCATAGATGAACACACACCACTAACCCGTCCATGAGGGTATGCAGTTACAGCCTGAAGATTCAGGACAAAAACCAGGAGGACAAACTGTATATACATCTAAAACAAGAAAAGTCCATTTTAATAGCAAATTGATATCAATCAATTTATAACAATGTAAATCAATATAAAAAATTTTTGAAATCGGAATTAATAACCGGAAATAAAAATTTATAAAATATATATCAAACATACTAAATATAATAAATATAATTTATAATATAATATAATATAATATAATATAATATAATATAATATAATATAATATAATGTAATAAAAAAGGCACTGACCTTCACCAAACCCAACAGCAACGTTTCCAGTAAGTGACACAGTCTGACGAATATCAGGAAGAACAGGATTTTATATATGTTCTACCAAGAGTATAAACAATGACCTCATGGAAAAAAAGAGAAAAGAAAAAGCCAAAACATCCTTATAGCTACCGTATAATGATAAGTAAAAGGAAGTGGATATATGTGTTATGAGTAAATAAAACCTTCAAGTATGTTTTGCATGAAGGTTGTCACTCCTTGATTTGTAACCTTAAATATTTAATAATGGACCAACGGAATTCAGTTATCTAAAACTAACAGAGATTGCCGGAATGTGGTACAGTTTATATGCACTTTTTATTAGACAAAATTCTTGGAGTGATAAGATGTTCGATTGCTCAGGAGTAAATCAGTTGCTGGATTCTCGGCCGACTTTCGGTTTTGTAAAAAAGAAGAAGAAAAAGCAGACATGTTTACTGTATATCATCAACCTGTATATTACAAATGACTCAGTGGAGTTTTAATTGTAAATCAATGTTTAGGATTACAATGTACCAAAATAGAAATCTTTGTGATGAGGTAAATACAACAGAAAGAAAAATAAACAAACAAATGTAAGTTCTACTTTACATAATTCAATTCAGGGAATAGTAATTCTGGATCCATAATCCTGGACCAGGCCGTATCCTGAGCAGATTCTCTGGTGGTCATGGAGGAGTGGGAAGCATGAGGCTGATTCTTAAAAGAACCCACTGACAGACGAGTTCAGAGATGCGTCATTCGCTCACGCAACAAGCCAGAATGAAAACAAAAGAACCGCCATGTTTTAAATACACAGCCGGGAGATAACAGCGTAATTATATCTACATAAATTAACGAACCACGGTCAACCAGGGCTCAAACAAACCTTGTCGTCGTCTTGATGAACAGCCACAAAGCAAGAAAAAGAGCAGATTTTACCATGTGCCCCAAATTTTTTTACGAGCCAGACTGAAGCGCGAGCGGTTTCGCTTTCGTTTCTGCGCTCGCCGCACGTCTATATTTGAAATAACAACCTTCTTGAGCTGATGATAATAACGTGTGCTTGATTATTGACCTGCTTTTGAAACCCAATACTGTCAAAAAACTGACAAACGCAAGAGCGACACGCAAAATAACAAAGGAGAAGCCAGAAAAAAAAGGAGCACATTATTTTTTCAGCAAACGTGAACAAACTGCCATGTTTAACTATTATCATTACCTTTTGGACTATTATGAACTCGGAATGAGGGAATTATTCTCCAACAAGAGGTACACGTGTTGCTGAAGATTAAAGTCACATAAGAGAGGTCTGCTCTAACTGTGGGCTTTATTTTGTGTTGTTTTTGAACCTAAATAAGGACTAAATGTATGCTGTGAGTAGTTTTTCTGTAAGTGGTAACACATCAGAGACTGTAAGGGTCTGTCTGTGTTCATATATGTTGCATTTATTTATTTCATATAATCGCAGTCGTTACAGTAGGCTTTTTTGCATTGATCTGATTTCGCATAGATTTTTCATTGATCTGCAGTTGTAATCAACTCATGTTCATAGAAAAGTTAGTAATAAACATTTGAGTATTTATGTGTATAAAGCGTCTGTTTTGTGAGAAGTGCTTCTTTAGGTGTGGAAGCACAAGCCTAATAAAGGAGGCCTTTACCGACCCATACCGTACCGTACCGTACTGTACCAGTACGTGGAAACAAGCCATTAGTGTTTGGACTTTTAGCAGTGACAGTTAAACTGAACTGAACTAAACTTAACTTAAACATTGAAAACTGAACTGAAGGTTTCAATTTACTAAAGTTTCTATGTTAAACTACTTTGACACAATCTACATTGTAAAAGTGCTGTAGAAGCAAAGATGAATTGAATTTAACAATAATAATACAAAAAAAAAAACAGTCAATTCTGTATTAGTGTTTAATTTTAGCTTTAAATTTTAAGTATATTTGAATGAAAATTTCAAAATAGTGAAATTAAGTAAAACATACTCAACTTAATTCACTGTTCAAATTCAATTTCATTATTTCTATTTGATTTCTTTTGTTTTATTATTTTTTAATCTTAGGTCTTGTAACTTTCTGCTTTATTACAGTTCATTTTCTACTCAAAATGACACATTCACATAAAAAGGGCTGTGATTGTGTATTTTGTAACACATATTGATGTTTCTGTGTACAGTAGCTTATAACCAGCCGTTTTAAAGTTCTCTCTTTTTCTTAGAAAGTTTAACATGGCAAATACCAAAGTCCAAACACTGAAATATTTAACAGGTGGGATGCTTTGATATTTTATTTAGAGTTAATTATTGAAAGATATAGGAACTAAAAACAAATGTACTGTATTTACTGCAGAACGTTTTTCTTTTTAATGTGAAAACATTATCAGATTTTACATTTTGAGGCTTTCCGGATGATTTTTGAAGACTAACATGTGTATATGAATACATTTCAGTATGGGAAATTCTAAAAGTTCCTAAATATTATCACTATATATATATATTATATAGTGATGTTTAGGAGGCCATGATGCAAAGAGGCCAGTGGGCAAATTAAACCCATACTCTTTTTCGAAGGATATCCTGGGATATTTAAAACCACAGAGAGTCAGGAACTCTGTTTAATGTCTCATGCGAAAGACAGCACTCACTGAGCAGTAGAGTTCCCTTCATTATACTGGGGCATTAGGACCCACACAGAAAATAGGTTGAGCACCCCCTGCTGGTCTAACTAACACTTCCGGCAGCAACCTAACTTTGCCATGTGGGCTCCCATCCAGGTACTGACTAGGCACAGCCCTGCTTAGCTTCAGTGGGTGACCATGTGAGAGTTACAGAGAGCTAGTTACTAGCTATTTATTTATCGGATAAAACTCCATTTACTTTGTAAATAAATAGCCAGGAGGAATCATACCAGGTAAAAGGACACAGACACTGGAGATCCCAAGAAGAGAGGTAAGTCAATTTAAAAGGGTCACAAAACTCCAAAAACAATTTTCTGAGATGTTGACAGACATATATATGCCCGACGTTGCTAAAACTACTATTAGGACACATATTTCACTAAGTGAAAATTGGTTGTTTTTGCGTTGTTTTGAACAAATTCATTTTTCCAATGTGAAAATAAATTTTGAAGCAACGTCACAGTGATCTTTGTGTAAATTCCAGCATGGAGATTGACAGTCTGTGACAGTATTGAGTTTCCAACATTAATTTATGAGAAAGACTTGGTTCAAACCCATCAGCGCACTCTATTGTTAATGAGATGCAACTTCATTAATACGCATGATACAGCTTCAAAGACTCTTTTTACCAATTACAGTGTTCAGAAAGACATCACAACTAGTGCTTGTAGTCCTTCAGGTGTAAAGAGGTTGGACACATGACGTGCAGGTGCGGGGCTAATCAGTCAGGTGACTGTAATGATGCTGAATCAGGTGATTGCAGAAGGATAAGACCTGGCATGCCTGTGACAAATATCAAATTTCAGTCATATTTTATGTTAATGTGTACAAACCATTAACTAAGTATATATTAGTCATTTGCTACTTATTTGTAGTTATTATGTCAGTAACTGGGATAAAGTATTGTGTAGGATTAAAGCCGTGCAGAATAAAATCATACTTAACACCAGGGGTGCCCAAACATTTTCTTATAAAGGGCCAAAAGTAAATATTGAAAACTGTATTACATCAAAGTTGCCATGAATAATTTCCTAATTTATTTAAACAAAAATATAAAATAAAATAAAATAGAAAAAATGATCCCACTTTATATTAAGTGGCCTTAACTAATATTTACTTACACAGAAATAATAGTATGTTACAATGTACTTATTGTGTAAATACATGTATTTACTGTTTGTAATTAACTTTTGTAATTACATTTGTAAATACACTGTTGACCATCCCTTACACCTTAACCCACCCTTAAACCTACCCATGCCACCAAACCTGTCCATAACCCAACCTCTATCCCAACTCAAAAGCACCACAAGTGTTCTCAAATACATTATAAACACAGTAAGTACATTGTATTTATTTTTTGATGTAAGTACATAGTAGTTAAGGACACTTAATATAAAGCGGGACACAATAAAACTATATATATATATATAAAAAATATAAAACTCCATTTTACAATCACATGCTTGAATGGTGTACCAATGGAAAGAGTTAGCTCTAATAAATATCTAGGGATTGACGAGAGATTAGCCTTTGATATACACATTGACAAGTTATTGATAAAGCTTGGGCTGAAATTTAGTTTTCTTCTCCCGTTCAAAAAATAGTTTTCCATAAGGCCACAAGAAAGAGTACATTCTTGACTGTAATTGATGATGGTGATCATCTAGATATGCATGCAGCTGCTACTCTACTTAGAAAACTAGATTCTGTTAATCGCACAGAAATACACTTTGTCACAGGTGCAGATTCACAGACGCATCAGTGTATTTTTTACAATTCCTTAGATTGGTTATCTTTATATGAAAAGATAAAATTACATTTGTACTTATTTAGTTTAAAGGATTTACCATCCGATCTTTCTAATTTGCTAACATTTCACATAAACAATTAACACACTACATTTGTTTCCTGTATTCGGTTAACAGTCCCAAGGGTATTGTCAGAACTTGGCAAATGTTTTTTTTTTTTTTTTGTTCCTTTTATTCTCTTAGGGCTTGGAATGATCTGCAAAATCAGCTTAATCTTGACACATCTCCGACTCTGAGTACCTTTAAATTAAAATCTTCTGTAAAACGTCTTAAAGAATACTTTTATGAATGGTGATTTTGTAATTTTGTGGTTTTGTTGCGATTTTTGTGTAGAGCTTTATGTGCTGCCTGCTGTCTTGACCAGGTGTCACTGGAAGATTAGACAGTACCGTCTCAATATGATCTCTTGATTAAATAAATGAAAATAATGATAATAATAATAATAATATGGTAACACTTTAGAATAACTATTCATTATAACAAAATAATAGACCATTAATAAACAGTTAGTTAATGGGTTATAAATGACTTCTTAAATAAAAGTTAATAGTTTAATTACTGTGTAATGTATAATGTATAACTGT